TAAAGCATTCACAAGCACAATGCCGATCATGCTAATTTTCTCCTTTTAACTTGTATATCAAAAATGCTAAGGACAATTAAATTTACACAGAAATTTTTCTCAAAAGTGGTCTGTGTTAGGTAATTTAAAATGAGAAATATCAAATAAGCGGGTATTTTTAAAAAAATAATTATTCAATTCTGATAAATTTTATAACTATTAATAATTAAATCATAAATTTGTTTTGTGTAATTATTATTTAAAAAAAAAAATTTACACTAATGTGTAATTGTTTCCATTTAAAATTACTGAGATATAAGCCAAACTCACAATAAATATAAACCGTTGATTACTTTTTTGGTTAATTTTCTAAATAATTTTTTTTCTTGAATTAGAGTATTGCGTGGTGTTGGTGTTAAATCCCACAGAAAAAAAATAAAGTGCAAAAGTAAGTTATTGAGCCAAAAAACAATCACAATGAGAAAATGTCAAATGTTTAACCAGGGAAATTTTTATTTTCACCACACAAATTTTCTTATTCCACACACTAAATGAATTTTTTAAGAATCACAATTTTACTAACAAAATTACCATCTCACCCTTACCATCTTATCAGCCCATACATCTCACAATTTCTCCATTACAAAACATCTCACCCACTATCGTCTCAGTAGCCACTTCATCTCACAAATGGACATAAACTGGGTATTGAACCATGGAGCTTGTTTCGAAAACAGATTTGAAAAGGGTCAAGTTTTGAGCTGGGCAAATGATGTTCGGTATTTTGCTGGAAAAACATTCATGTTGACAGATCCATAGATTTCAAGCCACATATAATTTTTTTTCTGACGGGATTATTCAAAGTAATTAGATGCTTTTCACAACCATTGGCTGTGGAAGACAAATAACTCATCGACAATTAATATTTGCAGTAAAGTACAAAAAACTTTTTTCTTTTTTTAACTCGCAAAACATTGCATTTTCTAGCAAGCCCATCTCTGGATCTAATATGTCTTTGTAGCCATTCTTCAAAAATAGATTCATCCAAATTTCCAATAAGATACCCACATGTTCCAAACAAAAATTCTCATAAAAAACTTGATTTATCAACTTCCAGCAAGAGTAAATAAACAATACTTGTTTCCTTGATAACTATTGTTTCATTGATGGTGTGCATGCAAGAAATTCTAGCTATTCCATTTGCCTCAAACCTACATAATCAATCAAACATTCTTCAAAGAAGAATGGAATTAATGGCAAAGAGATTCAAGGAGGGTGGATCCAGTATTGAAGAAGAAGCAATTCAAGGAACCAAGGAGTAAGGATTCATGGAAGAAGATCAGGCCCTCTTTAACCTAATTTGTGGATAATATACCTGAAGCAATGGATTCCAGAGGTTGTGCATGAGCGTATTCACTAAGTTTGGGTGGTTAGAGATGTATTCATTCCTCAGAAGAGAAGTGGAGGATCATTTCAAAAACCAGATTTGGCTTTTGTGCATTTGTGATTTGTTCATGTTGCAGCCAATGTGGAGCACAAAAAAGAAATGAGGGCTAATGGGTAGATGATAAAAAACTGGACGTAAAAAAATGAGAGTATGGGAAGGACAATTGGAAGAAAACAAAGGTTGAAGCCTACAAGAGGATGACGATTGAAGGGGAAAAAATGTAACAGTAAACTCGATGATTGAAAAGTAGAACCAAGGCATATGATAAAAGATCGTTTTGCAAACGTTCTAATGGAAGGAACTCAATTGACAGACATTAAGTGGTATTACTATCATATGGAGAGATAGGCAATGGATGGTTGTATGAAAGTATTCATTCTCTTAAGGCTCAAACCAATATTCTCTGTTCTGGCAATTCAAAGAAGAGCTCAAACGAAAAGATAATGGTGTGTTTAGTAAGAGAGGGTGAAGGTGTGGATGTTGTTCACTTTCTAAGTAAAGGTGGGATATGAGAAGCAATGAAGCAGCTTGTCACCTGGTTTCATTCGAATGGTGTGAGTACATAATGGAATGGTCAACAGAAATTCTATACCTTGAGCACGAGAGGTTGTTTGTTTGAGTTTCTATGGAATACCACTCAATGTTTGGAATACAGATCCTTCAAAAAAATTAGAAGATTATGGGCGGGAGGTGATTTATTTTGATGGGAATACCTGGGAGCAGATCTTTGCGATATGGGAAAGATAAAGATTGCTACAAGAGTCTATAGAGTCGATAAATACCAATGTAAATCTAGATTGCAAAGGAGAGAGTGTATCCTTAAGAGTTTGGAGGAGCAGATTTAAAGGAGGTATAAGGCAAATTGCATATGCAACAGATTAGAAGGTGTTTGACGAGTTTGATTAGCTTAATGTCAATGGTGTGGTGTCCTATGGATGTTCCCAAAGTAGAGGAAGATGAAGCTGCCCTGGAGATGTGGTGATGATGATGTGGAAGTTAACATTGAGTTGGCGTGAAGGGGATTTGCTAACTAGGAAAGGAGGAATGATGTGAGGTTGAAAGCAGCTAGTAGCGTGATGGAGGATCTCAATAGTTGAGAGTCTGAAGATTGCATTGGGAAATCAGCGGGTTGACAAAAGCCAAGTGAATGCAGAGAGTCTTGGGAAAGCACTTTGAGGCTGGCACACGTGACGTAGAAGACATGATGAAAGAAAAAGAAGGCTTGCAGTAGGGGTGTTAATGGATGAGACTCTAAAAATAGATAGTCAGGCCCATTGTCCAGGTTTTGTTGAGAAAAGCTTGAAGTGGGTCTTCGAAGGCCAGATCAGGTATCAATTTTGGAGTTCTCTTGCGCTATAAACATAAGTAGTAATCAGATCAATGGGCAGGTACAATATCCAATATTCTGGACCTGATGTTTGCCAGCCCATAATTGGATGAGCATGGGCCTATTATGATTGACTTAAATCTGAGAAGTGATACTCTTAGTGTATCCTTAGTGAAATCTATTTCTATAAGATTAAGTTTAGAAATAATAAAGGGAAAAGAAAGTGGGTGCAGAAATTTCATTCTAGTGTGGATTTTCTGGGTTTCTGGCTAGAGGAGTAGGCAAAGGTGGTGGCTTGAATCTTGTAAAATAACCACAAAGGGTTGTCGTTTAGATCCTGCAGCTGCTGCTGTGTTAGAGTCTGCCTCAGGTAAATCGTGAATCTTAGTCGTGCCAAAGTGCAAACTTCATGAGCTCAACTCGCACTTTTTCTGGGTAACAGTTGGGG